TCACTTTATTGCATCTTTTTCACAGATTCGAAAGATGTTGGTCCCACCGGAAACAAAAACGACAACTTCCGGTTATAAGAGAAAAAATACAAAATTTGAGTATTTTACTTTCCTATAAATATTCTTTATAAATAATGTATTTGAAATGAATTTTAAATATGTTATTCAGACTGCAAAGGTCTAGAGTAATCTCAAATATCTTTCAAAATTTCACTTCCGGTCGCGTGTTTTTCTGTCCTCAAAATGAAAATTATCTGAGCGAGATCTCAAAAACAGGTAAAAGATTAAAACACCAAATTTTTATGAGTAGCAGACCTTGAGGAGTAGGCAAAACCATTTTGGTTAAACGCGTCCGTCGTAACTTCCGGTCGTCACATGAAGTGATCAAAGAAATCGAAAAAATTTTAACTTTTCTTTTTTAAATTAAAGTTTGCATCACTTTATTGCATTTCTTTCGCTGTTTTGAAATATGTTAGATTCCTCTGGAAACAAAAACGTCAACTTCCGGTTTTATGTGATAAACTAAGTTATTTCGATATTTAACTTTCTCATAAATATTGCTTATCGATAAAGCACTTGAAATGTTTTTATGCATTTTGTAGATACTGCAAATGTCTAGAGAAACGTCAAAGTTTTTTTTATAAAATTCACTTCCGGTCGCGTGTTTACCTGTCCTCAGAATTAGAATTTGTTCACACAATATTGCTCGGCAACAGTAAACGACTGAAGTCTGAAACTTTCAGAACTGATTGTCAGTCATCAGTTTATTTGAATCGCGAGGAAATTTTGTATCGCCGTTACTTCCGGTCGTAACAGGAAGTGATGCAAAAAAGTGAATAGTTAATGGTTAGCACGTTGGATTTTCACGCTGACAACCAGGGTTAAATCTCCAGAGTGTCTGAATTTCTTTTATCACTTTTTCAGCTTGAATTTACGTTTTTATTTTCAAATTCGGACGGAAGACCTCTCATTGCTCGCAATGAGTTTCTAGTTATTATTATTTTTCTTCCTGGGTACTTTTTTGTCCGTGAGTGATCTCCGAAACTACACATCCGATTGAGGTGAAACCTTTTTAGGGTTACTAGGCATGTTATGTAGATTTGCGGAACGAAGGTCATTTTGCGCACACGCGCATGCACGTGCGTGCGCGTGCAATGCGTAAAATGACCAATATACTTGAAATAGCTGTAACTTTTATATTTTTTGATGAAATGCTTTGATACTCAGAATATAAGGATATATTAAAAGTATGAACAAGATGACATGGTCAACATGCACATGCATGCACGTGCGCGCACGCGCAAAGCGTAAAATGACCAATTTACTTGATATAGTTGTAACTTTGAAACTTTTTGATGAAATGCTTTGATACTCAAAATATTTGTATGTATTTAAAGTGTAGACAAGGCGACATGATCATCATGCACATGCATGCATATGCATGCACGTGCGCGCGCGTGCAATGTGTTAAATGACCAATTTACTTAATATAGCCGTACTTTTTATATTTTTTGATGAAAAGCTTTGATATTAAAAATATACAGATATATTAAAAGTGTAGACAAGATGATGTGGCCATCATGCACATGCATGCACATGCGCGCGCGTGCAATGTGTTTAATGACCAATATACTTAATATAGCCGTAACTTTTATATTTTTTTATGAAAAGCTTTGATACTAAGAATAAACAGACATATCATAAGTGTAGACAAAATGGCATGGTCATTATGAACATGCATACAGGTGCGCGTGCGCGCAATGCTAAGATGACCAATATACTTGATATAGCCGGAACTTATATATTTTTTGATGAAATGTTTTGATACTGAGAATATAAAGATGCATTTATAGTACAGACGGAATGATGTTGTCAACATGCACATGCATGCACGTGCGCACGCATGCAATGCTAAAATGACCAATATACTTGATATAGCTGTATCTTTCATACTTTTTGATGAAATGCTTTGAACTCAAAATATGTAGATATATACTAATACTATAGTAAGATGACACGGTCATCATGGATATGCATGCGCGTGCGCGCGCTTGCAAAGCGTTAAATGACAGATATACTAAATATAGCCGAATCTTTTTTTTTATCTTTTGATGAAATTTGAATATAAAGATGTATTAAAAGTGTAGACAAGTTGACATGGTCATTTTGTACATGCATGCCAGTGCGCGTGCGTGTAATGCGTAAAAAAAGCAACATACTTGATTGCCTTATTTAATGAAGCTTACAGGAAATAAGACACCAAAAGGAAGTTGGGGAGCGTTTGGGGAACATCTGTAACGGTCCCCGTTACAATTAATACTAGTTTTCTTGAGAAGTCATGGTGTTTATAAGCGAGACAAACTTTTCACAAACTCTGGTTATTGTTGAATATAATCCTTAAAAATAAAAATATACGTGAGAATGAAATTTTTGCGAGCAGACACTCTGGTGTAATTGCGCAAATTAAAGTTCTCAGGAATATATAAAGTGATTTACAGTATACGTATATTTGGTAGTTTTGTGAGATGTGAAGTAGATTTACTTTACTAGACATAAATAGAGTATATTTATGAAGAAAAGTATTTCTATCATTATTTTATAGAAAATTTGGGTATAAAAAAAATGCCTCCCTTATCTACTTTATGGCAAAAAAAAATTTTTTTTTTAAACTTCCTCCCTTATCTGTTTTGGAGAAAATTGGCCTGAAAACCAGAAAATTTAAATTTATGTGGCCGTATTTTGCATTTACTTGCATAATTTTCCAATACTTCTCTAGTAAGAAGAAATGCTGCACTTCAGTATCTCAAACAGATATTTCAAAAGCCATTGATATGTCAAAGTGAATTGGAAATCACATCACTCTTTCTTAAAAAATTTTACTCTTCAATATCTTGAACCCTTGGATGTTTCGAAGTTTTTTTCTTGGTCCCATTGAGTTCAAGATAATGAGGTTTGACTGTACATGTATATATGACAACAATTTCAAACCTAATCTTTATAATGATGTCAATTTTAAATCTGTATTATCACTGTGCTCAGGGAGAATTCTTTTATAAGACACATGTACGTACCTGAAATTGTTATCAATCATTAAGATTCATTGTAAAAATCCATTTTCAGGGAGAGAAAAAGAATAATGTTGGTCAGAGGCTGCCCCAGAAAGGGGATGTAGAACTTCTATGTGGAGGTCCCCCTTGTCAGGGATTCAGTGGAATGAACCGGTTCAACTCCAGGGAATACTCTAGATTTAAGGTCAGTTAATACAGCCTAAGGCCAAAAAAAATTAATCAATAGTTTCTCAGGCACCGCCGCATCAGGTCAAACACTGCTGCATTGATAAATTTTATTGACATATTTAAAAGGGAAATAACTCAATTTTCTATTTTTCCAAGTTGAAAAAGAAAATTGAGTTACCATATATACTCGCCCATAAATCGGTCCGCCTATAAGTCGGTTGTATTTTTTAAGCTTAAGTTAGAGGGATTGACCCACTAAAATACCATTCTTTTTTAGTTTTGGACCAAAGTTAACTCCCAAAAAACCGACTTATAGGTGAGTATATACAGTATTCCCCATTTCATAAATGCTAATAGACAAACGTTTTTATTAGATGAACAATACATTCCTTGTTAATATGGTATGTTATGAATTAACTTTGTTTGGAATAACATTATTTAAAGTTGAATACTTATTTTAATTAATGTAAGAGAACAAAAAAAGTAAGAATCAGTTGATATCGTCATTTTGTTGAGTGACTGATATGAAAAAAGGTATAACACCTGCTGCTAAAAAAAAATTTAAAAAAAAAAAAAAAAAAAAAAAAAAAATGCCTGTTGCATTAAATTTTGAAATTTTTGGCCTGAGAAACTATTAATTAATTTTTTATGGCCTAACAAGTTGGAAGTATCAGATGTAACAACAATGAAGGGAAAATGACTGCTCACAAATAAAAAATGCTGTATACAGGGAAATTTTTGTCCTTGTTTTTAGTTCACCTGAGTCACTCTTCTCGAGAACCTCTGAACCAATTTCAACCAATTGTAGCATATAGCATCAATGGGTGAAGGGATATAAAAAATATTGTAAATACATAAATATTTTAAATATCTTCTTTGCCCCTGGGGTATTTATCAGACAAAGAAATTGCATGGTTATGATGAGCAAAAATGCCTCTTTCAAAATTATGAAATTCATAGTTTGGGACTTTGGTGTTGGTTTTGGACTTGAGCAGGGCTCTATTGATTATGTAGTGAATAATTCTTTGAAAATCTTCTCTGCTTTTGGGTATTTAGCAGATGAACTTGTTGCAAACTTATGATGAGCAAGTATGCCTCTTCCAAAATTGTTAAATTTGTGGCCCCTGGGTCAGGGTGAAAGGTGGGGCTGAGTTGAATCTATAATGAAAATGCAATAATTCTCTGAAAATCTCCTCTGCTCCTGGACATCTAGGAGGCAAACATAGTTGTAATAAGCAGGGATATTTTTACAAGATTTCTGAAATTCTGGACCACTTGATCTGGTGTTGGGCAGGGTGTGATTTCTCTCCATCAACACAGCTGTATCTGGGCTAATTTGAAACAGGAATCGTTCCCCAGTATGATTGGGCAAAAGTAACATGGGGGCAAAAATAACCCTGTTTACAGTAAAATTTCTTAACAATCCTTAATATTATATAATATTTTATATTTTATTGACTTCTTCAGAAACAGCTAATTTCATCTAAACTTGCTTCCAAGCCTATTGGAATCAATATTGTTCAGATGTAGTGTTTGGGTTATTTTTATGCCCCTGTAATCAAAGATTCTTGGACATATAGTTTTTCTCTGTTAGTCTGCAGAAACATTTACCTTGTCCATAACTTCTTAACCGTTGGTGCTAGGGCTTTCATATTTCACTTGTATATTTTTTGTGACAAGACTTTTCTTTGGGTACCAACTTTTATGACCTAATGACATTGACCTTTGAGTTTTATCTACTTCTGAAAGACTTGAATCTTGGCCATGAACTACCATGGGGGGCATCAGTGCTCACAAACACCTCTTGTTTTTAACAGAATTCACTGATAGCCTCTTATCTGAGTTACTGCGATTATTATCGACCCAGATTCTTTTTGCTGGAGAACGTCCGGAACTTTGTGTCATTTAAGCGCAGCATGGTTCTGAAGTTAGCCCTGCGATGTTTGACGAGGATGGGGTACCAGTGTACATTTGGGGTCCTACAGGCAGGATGTTATGGCGTCCCACAAACTAGGAGAAGGTAAAGATACAAAAAATAGCACTTTGTTTAAAATAAATCGAGTAACAATTGCTCATCAATGACTAATAGTCTCCTGTTAATCATACAATTAAGGCACACGGAGTATTTCTTTGATAATTATTTCACACATTAAGGAATACTGTTATGTCATTAATTATTTATATACGAGCTCTCTAAGGACAATTCTCGTAAATTTTATCATTTTATAACTTTTGATTGAACTTTTTGAGCACTCTACGTGCATGTTGGATGGTTTCATCTAATTTAATGAGATTGTATAAACTCTTATTATGTCTGTATTAATTAAGTATTGCTGAATAACGTAACAAATGATGGAAAAAGCTTTGTTATTGCTCTGTTTCTAATTTAACTTTGATTCCAAATACCACTGTTAATCACTCTGCACTTTAAGTTTCACGTTTTTATTGTCATTTGCTTCACCTTTCAGTCGAAGTCGGTTGGCAAACTATGCACTTAATAATGAATTTACCAGCTTTAACCAGATTATAATAGGACATTGAAATGGGGTGGGGGAATTTACTCGCACATGCCAAATTGCTTAGTCCCCAACAGTAGCTTGTAATTTTTTTTTTTTTTAAAAACTTAACTATATCTCATTAAATGTGTTGAAAAGTATATCTTTTTTTAGGTCACCCAAGTCTTTCTATCTGTTTTTGTTCTTCATCTGGTAAATTTCCCACAAAGCATCCTTGGTTGATATGAATTAAAGTTTTAAAAAACTTTTTTTTTATCAGAGATTCATATTTTCAAGTCATTAAAATATTTAGTATGTATTCAAATTTGCCTGAATCTTTGCCTTATTGACCAAGGGAAGATGCATTGGAGCTCTCAGAATTTGAAATGAAGTAAATAAAAAATACATAATGTGGTTAAGAAAAAAAACTTACATTATGACAACTCTAAGTGACCATTAAGACCATAGGCCTCTTGCATCTAGCTCACCTGAGATGTAAGCTCAAGTGAGTATTTCTGATCAACTGTTGTCTGTCTGTCCATTTGTCTGTAAATTTTTCTTCTGGAGAACCACTTGCATAATTTTAACCAAACTTGGCACAAGGCACTCTTTGGTAAAGAGGATTCAGAATCAAATGCATGGCCAAGACCCATTTCAAGAGGAGATAATCAAGAAAAGGTAAAATAGGGTGGAGTCATTAAACAATCTTTTTCTCAAAAAGATGAAACTTATATATAAGCTTCCTGTTGTAGTAAAGAATCTTAATTGTTGAAATCATGCCCCTTGTGGGAAGATGGGGCCACATTAGGGGATCAACATTTTACATGGAAATATTTTTAGGAGAAAAAAACTTTCAAAATCTTCTCAAGAACCACTTGGCCAGGAAAGATAAAACTTGTGTGTAACCTGTTCTGACATAGTGTAGATTCCCATGCCCTGTTCACACGAAGAGTTTAATTCGCAGTAAATTAATTCGAAGTAAACTAATGCGAATTAGATTGCGTTCACACGAGAGCTAATGCGAAGTAAACTAATGCGAATTAAAATTATATTTCTACATTAAGGCTTTTCTGTAAGCCTATTATGACGTCATTTTCAAATTACGTCACATTTTGCATAATGTCATAGTGTCTGTACAAATTTTATTGATTAACATAATTTTCTTTGGTTTTCTACTCAAAAAAAGCACAAATTACTATATCTGATCACCGACATGTGGTCTTTGACTTAATTCTGTCTTTACACATGCGTCAAAATTTAATTCGAATTAGCTTCGCTTAGCATTCACACGGAGCTTATGCAAAGTAGTTTAATGCGCAGTAAATTAATTCAAATTAAACTAATTCGCATTAAATTCTCCATGTGAACGCGGTTCAAATTTAATTCGCAGTAACTTACGTTTAATTCGAATTAAACTCTCCATGTGAACAGGGCACGAATTGATGAATCATGACCTCCTAGGGTTGGGAGGGGGCACAGAAGGGGATTTACCGTAAGTTTTACATGGGAATACAGAGGAAAAAAATCTTAAAATCTTCTCAAAAAACACTTGGCCAGGAAAGATAAAACTTATGTGAAAGCTTCATGATATGGTATAGATTGTAAATTGTTCAAATCATGGCCTCTGGGGGTAGGTTTGGTCCACAATAAGGGATCAAATTTTTTCATTGGAATAAATAAGAAGAAAATTATTTAAAATCGTCATCTTAAGATCCATGATAGAATCATCAATTTGCAAGCATTCCCAAGTTGTGTGAAATGATTTATCATTATTATTGACACTGGGGTTAGAGTTGGGATAAAGTAGGGGATCAAATTTACTTAATGCATATATATTGGGGGAACATTTCTCAATAACAGCAATGCCATTTTAATCATATTGAAGCATCCCCATAATGTGTATTTAGATTAGAATGCCATGACCCTGTGGTGCCAGGGTGGGGGCCACAATTTGGGGTCAAAATTTTTCATGTGAATAAAGACTGAAAACATTAGTTTGAAAATCTTCTTACGAAGAACAGCAGGGCCAGGGTGGCTCAGCTGAGTGAGGTGGCCCATGGGCCTCTTTAACAATAGCATCATGACAAAATTTCAGTCAATCCACAGAGAGACTTGCAAATGTGGACAAACATGGACAAAATATTGTAAATTAAGTAAATGTAAAATGTTGATCCAGATTAACTTATCCCAACATGGACCAGTTGTCTGTCGGAATAAAATAGCTTGAGATGTCAACTAAGTTATCGATACATAAAAATATCAGTCCAAATTTGAATATCTCGTACAGGATAGAGTAGCCATAAGATATCAGCTAAGTTATTGATAAGTGAAGATAAATGTAAACTTTGGGATGTTTGACAGAGCTATTATCCTGCCTGATAGAATAGCTGTAAGATATCAGCTAAGTTATTGATAAGTGAAGATAAATGTAAACTTTGGGATGTTTGACAGAGCTATTATCCTGCCTGATAGAATAGCTGTAAGATATCAGCTAAGTTATTGATAAGTGAAGATAAATGTAAACTTTGGGATGTTTGACAGAGCTATTATCCTGCCTGATAGAAAAGCCATAAAATATCAGCTAAGTTATTGATAAGTGAAGATAAATGTAAACTTTGGGATGTTTGACAGAGCTATTATCCTGCCTGATAGAAAAGCCATAAAATATCAGCTAAGTTATTGATAAGTGAAGATAAATGTAAACTTTGGGATGTTTGACAGAGCTATTATCCTGCCTGATAGAAAAGCCATAAAATATCAGCTAAGTTATTGATAAGTGAAGATAAATGTAAACTTTGTGATGTTTGACAGAGCTATTATCCTAGCTGCTGCTCCCGGAGAGAAGCTGCCATTTTTCCCTGAGCCCCAACACGTATTTGCTCCTCGAGCCATGCAGTTGTCTGTGGTGGTGGACGATAAAAAGGTAAACCACAGTGCCTGTATAAGGTAAAGAGAGAATTTTGAAAATTGATGATGAGGTTATGGAAATATAATTAGATAGGCAAAAATATGCTGACAAAATAAAACCTTTTTTTTTTGTTTGGATTGTGCAAGGTTGTCATAAAGGAGACTGTTTTAAAAGGCATGTATCTACTATTCAAAAAAAATGCACCATTTCCCATTCAGATGTCATTTTGAAATCAGATATTCACATTTAATCTTTCATGTTGCTAGTTGTTGATTCATAAGAATGTATAATTTGATGTTTTACAGTTCATGTCCAATATCACGAGAACGGAGTCAGCTCCTTTCAGGACAATCACGGTCAGGGACACAATGTCTGATCTCCCAGAAATCAGGAACGGGGCCAAAGCTGAGGAGATTTCTTATCAAGGAGATTACCAGTCCCATTTCCAAAGGATTGTAAGCACAAATAATTTGATAAATACTTTCCCTACCTGTAAAGGACTGTAAGCACAAAAACCCAACTACCAGTGTTAAAAATAATAAATAATCAGCTAAATACTGCCCCTAACTGTGAAGGATTGTAAGTACAGAAGCCCTGCCTCCATTGTAAAAAATAATTAGCTAAATACTGCCCCTAACTACATGTATAAAGGATTGTAAGTACAGAAGCCCTGCCTCCAATGTAAAAAATAATCAGCTAAATACTGCCCCTAACTACATGTATAAAGGATTGTAAGTACAGAAGCCCTGCCTCCAATGTAAAAAATAATCAGCTAAATACTGCCCCTAACTACATGTATAAAAGATTGTAAGTACAGAAGCCCTGCCTCCAATGTAAAAAATAATCAGCTAAATACTGCCCCTAACTACATGTATAAAGGATTGTAAGCACAAAAGTCCTGCCTCCAATGTAAAAAATAATCAGCTAAATACTGCCCCTAACTACATGTATAAAGGATTGTAAGCACAAAAGTCCAGCCTCTAAAGAATTATTAGCCCTAAGTGTAATGGATTGTATTTGTCCTGTTAACAATGTAAAGGAAAATAATTTGCTCAGTTCTGCCCCAAACTGAAAAAGAATTGTAAAACGAAATCCTGCTCCAAACTTGAAAGAAGACCCACCCCACTGTGAAGGACTCATCCTGTAAATCTCATGTTTGTTTGAGGATAATTTTACAATATCTGAAAAAACAGTGCAAAATTAATGAGTGTAGCTTCCTATTTAATTTTATCTGCAAGTAAATTTACAAGATTAACAAAATATGAATTTTACAATATCTGAAAAAAACTGTGCAAAATTAATGAGTGTAGCTTCCTATTTAACTTTAACTGCAAGTAAATTTACAAGATTAACAAAATATGAAGTTTTTCCCGAAACATAATGGAGCATTGCTAGTATCTGGATGGGGCTATCTTTGAGGCATTTTTTGTCTACTCAGATTTTTAAACGAAATTGCATTCTATTGAGCAATTTCAAGAAAAATACGGGTTGGGGGGGGGGGGGGGGGGTCATGAGAAGCAATGTTTTAAAGTATGAGATTGTTAAATATGAGATCATAGTTAAACATGAGATCATATTCTACATGTAACTGAAATACTGTAAAATCACATTTTTTCGCTGGGACAAATTTTTGTGGTTTGAGGGAAAATTTTGAGTTTATGGGGATTTGATTTTGTTGATAAAGTGTTGTGTAGTTATGCATATGAAAACTTCACATTTCGAGGGGGACATGAATTTGTGGGTCTTGTAACACCTCGAAAAACTACAAAAATAGTGACTTCACAGTAAATTTACTGAAAGATAATTTATACTGAAGAAAGGAGGCAATATAAGATTACAATTCATACAATTTATGCATCTCTTCTTACATTCTACAAACATCTTCCTATAAATAAAGTCAAGGACAAACAAGTTGTTGCGGGGACCCCCTTCAGAGTCGAGAAAATAATATTTTCTGTCTTAAATGCCAGGTAATTGATTAGCAGATAGAGTTTTTACATCAAGTGAGAGACAGAGTAAATTACAAAACAAAAAACAAAACAGTTAAACATGTGAAGAGTTCACAGAATGTTGGAGTAAAAACAAATTTACCAGAAAGTTCTCCCACTGAGCTAAGAACGAAGAGCTCTAAACAGTCTGATATTATACATATATCACATGGCTTTGAGGGTGACATACCAGAATATTTGCCCCAAGGTGACAGGAAAGCCATGGAGTGTTATGTTACCCAGTGCTGAATGTAGAGGGTGACATAATTCTCCAGGGCTTTCCTGTCACTCAGAGGCAAATATTCTGGTATGTCACCCGAGAAGTCATGTGGTATATGTTATATAACTTTTTTTTCTAAATTCATCTAAAATCCTTCAAGTTTAGACAAATAATCCAATAATGCTTTCATGACGTTAAGAATTACGCTCTGTTGTTTAGGTTTGCTTAGCGACCGACATCATTAAATCTCAAAACCAAGCTATAACGTGTAGCATAAAAGCATGCGAGGATGATTGGGAGGGGGTAATAACTGTGTCCGTCATGTGTTGTAACTGTTTCCAGGGTGATATAGCTGTTTCCAGTGTAATCAGCATTCTTAAGGATATATTGTAAAACTTGTTACATTTGTGACATAATTGGAAAACTCATTCATATGACATGTTATATTTATAAATTGTTAACATCCTTAAATTTGTTAATTGTAATCAAAGGCCTTGGGATTCATACAAGACCACTTGCTGCAAAAAATTCTTTAGATGGTCTGCCTAATTAGAAAATGTTGTTTAATGTTACATAAAAAAAAAAACGATATACCTCTATGTATTTTTATTTCAATGAAAAATAAATGATTTATTTCAGTCTCCCAAATTTTATACTAACTTCCATTCAACCATAGAGTTTTATGAGGGAGTATGGCCATTGGTATTTTGGAAGTAAACAGTGTCTTTGCTTTAAAACCCAGTTACATTAAGCATAAGGTAATGCTTTTCTATTTATGTAAGTGTTGTACTTTTGTCTTAGATACGAGGTAAACAACATCAACCAATATTGAGAGATCATATTTGTAAGGAGATGAGTCCACTAGTGGCCGCCAGAATGCAACACATTCCCCTGGCCCCAGGATCAGACTGGAGGGACCTTCCCAATATAGAGGTCCGACTCTCTGATGGAACCAAAACTAAGAAATTGTAAGAAAATATTGGTATCTTATCAAAAAAAAACCACTAAAAAATGCAGTCCATCATGAAGATATATAAGTTATCTCCCTTTAATTGTATATCTGTAAATTATTTAGAAAAAAAGTAATAAAAACAGATGAGTATTTTAATATATGAGAAATAATTATAGTAAAACATATTGCATTGGGAACATAAATGAAAACCATCTTGATTCCAATACAGCAAAGAAGAGAGTAAAAATGGCTAAATTGGGAGTAAATGAACATTATTATTATCCCCTCGCGCAACTAGTTGCGGAGGGGATATAGCATCGCTACTGTGCGTATGTGTGTGTGTTAGTGTCTCCGTTACAGCTTGTGGGCAAGATTTAAAGAGAACCTTTGCACTATCATTTTTCAGCCTTCACATACTTATGTGGCATTGTGAAAGGACGAACCCTATTCATTTTCAAGTTAAGCGGTGAAATAGTTCTTAAAATATCGCGTTTTTACTACCTTCAAACCCTGCAATTTTATGTACGAGTTGACAATACTCACTTACGTAAATTTAACAGGTTAAAATTCGGGTCGTTTTGATAGAGCCACTTCTGTAAGTTCTACTTTGTATTTGCGTATTGTCATTTTATTGTGCGTATCTGAGAAAGTTTTTATGAATTAAAAGTGTCATCTCTGTCACAGAGTAACTGAAATAATTTGATGAACGTCGCGGTTTCAATACCAAATTACCACACGTGTGTGTGTTTACAATAGGGGCCTGAGGCACACGTAATTCTTGAAAGTTATAAACAGTGATAAATATATAGTTTCACAAGTGTCATTGACATCTCAACAACGGTATATTGTCATATTTCACTACAAAAAAATATTACTTCCGTGCATATTTTCAGATTTGATGCATATTGCATGTTACTGTGAGGTGTTTACTCAGGTAGGAAAATTAATGAAACTTAAAGTATACGTGATATGTTTCTGCTAGGAATAAGGGAAACTGCCCAATCACGTATGCTTATGATGCAATCCCCACCCCACCCCCGAGGATATCCACCTTGACTTTTGTTAAAATTTAATTAGTGTTGCAATACATTTTAATTTCTTTACCTTATTTTAAACTTTACATAGGAATACTGGGTACCGTTGATTACTAGGCCTAGATGATTGTATTTTGTTTAAAGTCCCTTTTGAGAATTTTTCTCTCGTATGGAGACATTGCCATTACTGGTGAAGTTCCTGGCGCGAGGGGATGCTCTGCTTAGCGGTGCTCTTGTTTTACTTTGCAAGCCATAACTCATGCCGAGTGTAAGAAGGCAAAATGTAATCTATATATTAGGGATGGCAATTTGTAACTGGTTAACCGATTAAACAGTCGGAACGATGGAAATCGATTAGAAAATCCGTAATCAGTCAGAAAAAATAAAATATATGTAACTTTGAGCGCAATATTTTTTAAAATTAATTTTTAAAAAAGGAAAACTCTTCATAAAAAGTTGATAACTTGGCATTTTACAAATCTTATTACCAAGCTAAATTGGAGTTAATTATGGCTCTCCAGATTGAGAGGGTAATTGGTCAGTTTGGGAAGTGTTAATTAATACTGATTTTAAAAACATTATGTTGTTACCCTGACTGTCCCATAATTCTTTGTTGATAATAAATAAATCACCGTTGAACACTGTGATTAGTTTGCCTATGTTTTGTCATTATCTGTTAAATCATCATTGGAAGAAGCATTGTAAATTCAGTGGAAGTTCAAGTTTTGATTATGGTGACAATGCAGAATGAACCTGCTCTTGGCTTTATTGTATGACCAGGATATTAACAGGAACCTAATTTTTTTCTTGGGCTATTTCAGGCAGTACACTCACCATGACAAGAAGAATGGGAGGAGTTCCAGTGGCTGTCTTAGAGGGGTGTGTTCTTGTGCTGAGGGGAAACAGTGTGAGACCATGGACCGACAGTTCAATACTTTAATTCCGTGGTGTCTCCCACACACCGGGAACAGACATAATCATTGGGCGGGGCTGTATGGAAGACTTCAATATGACGGATTCTTCAGCACCACAGTCACTAACCCAGAGCCAATGGGAAAACAGGTTAGAATCATTAACCCAAAAACCAATAGGAAAACAGGTTAGAATCACAGTCACTAACCCAGAGCCAATAGGAAAACTGGTTAGAACATAAGTCGACTAACCCAGATCCAATGGGAAAACATGTTGGAACATAAGTCACTAACCAGAGCCAATGGAACCAATGATCTTGATATCTTTGCACTAGTGTAAATCCATTATGATCATGGACTCGAAATAACATGTATGTAACAGACTTGAGTACAAATCTTTAAGATGTTTTTTTATTGTTGGCTGACAGTCGAACTTTTTAGATAACATCACTGATTCAATCTTGAATTTTCCGTAGGATTTTTTCATCTTGCAAGAAATTCTCATCATGTTTCTTGAATTCTTTATTGAGATGGTATGAACTAAGTAATATTTTTGTTGCAGTATGTCATAACCTGCAAGAACAGACCACTTGTCTAATCAGTTAATTAGCTGGGTCTTCAGAGTCTATGAGAACAGATTGGCCACTTTTATGTTTTTCTTCCCTTTAAAGAATTCCTTCTTAATGTCATCACTGATAAAAATGTGAAGTAAATCTACTGCTGTTAATATTTGTCGATATATTTGTAGGGTAGAGTGTTACACCCAGAGCAGCATCGTGTGGTAAGCGTGCGGGAGTGTGCCCGATCTCAGGGATTCCCCGACACCTACAGATTCTTTGGCAGCATATTGGACAAACACAGACAGGTGGGTAAAGATCAAGTTCCTCACCTGGACACATAGGTGGCCCAAACTAACCCATATACAGGTGTTAATAAGAGGGCTATGACTTGTAAGTCACACAGCCCCTGTGTATAAGATAAGACTCAGGTGTTTACTTGTGTATTTATGTCACACAACCCACATAATGATGTGGTGATAATTCCAGAAAGATGACGATGTGCATGAAGGAAATTCCTCTCTTTGTAAACTAATATGTGGGCAGTAGAAATTTAAAAGGTTGATAAACTATAGAAATATGGTGATGATGACACACAAAATGCCCCCCCCCCCCTTCTTCTCTTTAACCAGTAACCTTAACATTGAGTAAATAATTTGTGATCAGGTTTACATTACCAGGTTATTGGTAGAGGTGGGATGATATACTGATACTCCGATACATACCGATATTTTCTGCTAAGATAGGGTTTACGATACATGCATTGAATTATCATACGAAATGATACACGAACCACTTATCAAAAAATTGAAAATGAAAGTAGTTGTCCTGGAAAATGGCGGCTTGTACAAATTGACGAGATGATATTAACATTGAAATCTGCTCAAATGACTTCAAGGTCAGGAAACTGTATAGGGGACTAGCAGTCTTATGTGAACTAAGGGCTTCCACTTTTCCATAGTTATGGCCTTTGTTTTACCAGTTAGGAAATGTTAAATCTTACCTCTGTTTTCAGAGGTCCATGTAAGCTCTGCTCACAATTTGTAATTTTTAAGACTTTTTAGCATTATTACTGTTCATTGTCATAGATTAAGGTCACGATGAACCTCTGTGTTTCTAAGGTTTCCCCATTTCAACGGTAAAGCCCAGACAGGATTTGCACATGTTTTTTTTCTGCCAGTGAACTTGACAAGATCATGACAAGCTAACACATGTCCCCCACCCCCCACCTCTACCAACTTTTGTTATAGATAATTTTTAGCTCACCTTGACGAAGTCAAGATGAGCTTATACTATACCCCCAGCGTTGGCGCCAGCATCCCGGTTTAAGTTTTAGGAGCAGGTCTGTTCCCAAGTAACTATTATCCCTGTGGTGACCAAACTTGCATGGTTGATGCATTTAGGAATGCACACTACCATACTTGCTTCGGATGCTGGATCTGACCTACATTTTCTGTTTGATTGGCAACCTGAGAGTGTTTGGACCAGGCCCATTCCCAAGTAACTATTAGCTGATTGGTGACCAGACTGGTTGATGCATCTAGGGATGTACATTAGCAGACTTCCTTCGGATGCTGGATCTGACCTATATTTTCCAGATAAATGACCAGGTTAAAATTTTAGTTGCAGGTCTATTCCCAAATAACTAAAAGTCCTATGGTGATCAAACTTGCATGGATGATGGATCTAGGATGCACATTTCCAGATTTATTATGGATGTTGGATCTGACCCATGTTTTCTGGATGAATGACCAGGTTAAAGTTTTTGGAGCAGGTTCATTCCCAAGTAACTGTAAGCCCTACGGTTACCCATATCACACATATGATTTATCTAGTGATGCACACTACCAGAACATTTTTTTTTTGTGTGAGACTGTTATACTGATGACCTTCCAGGTGAGCTTCGTAATCTTTGATTACCTATGTTTGTATGATGTATTTTCCTTCCAAGTTATTCCTTTTGTTTGCCATTCGTGGAGCTCAAACTGGTGAAATTTCCTCTTTGATTAAATTTCCTCTTTGATTAACCAATTTTAAACATGCATGGGCCAAAAATACAGTATTAAAACTATGAATTGAAGGAGGCTTTCACAAACGTATAACAGTGCTATCTACACCTCAGTGCCCACTATGACATGAAATTACATTTGTTTTCTGCCATTGACTATGGACTTGCTTTAATTTCCTTGGGAAAAGGATTTGACACATCCTCTATATAGAGACTTTATATACAGATTTGGTGCCAAGTAGGGGTTTTCCAGTAACTTAGATTTTACAGATAGACTAATTCCTATCAACAAAAAATTAGAAGGGGGGGGGGGGGGAATGAACTTGTTTGACTAAAATCATGTTAATGGTTAGTGGTGTGATTTCATGAATAGACTTGACAAAAATGAATTGGATTGATATGCTGTTTTGATAATTAGGTCTATATGATAATAATCACTCCTTTACAGGTTGGGAATGCGGTACCACCACCTATGGCTAGGTTCATTGGACTTGAGATCAAGAAATGTCTAGAGTGGAAGATAACACAGGAAACAGACACAGATACAATGGAAGGGGTCAAAGGTGAAATGAAGACTGAGGTCAAGGTCACCAAGGAATCACCATGTAAACCTGGCTCTTCTGTAGATTAAAGAGACCTAGAAAAACTGAATGGACAAGCAAAGTTATAATACATGGATCTAAATCTATAGATACAGAAAATTACTTCAATGTTTCAAAGCTCAGAAATGGCTCAGTTGAAACAAAGTTAGTTCTTGGCATATATAATGTCAAATGAATGAACTGTCATTGTTATAAAATGCTGTGTATGAATTGGGTTTAATATTTTGAAAATTGGATTTGTCAGCAAGCATGGTTTAATTTCAGATTACAAATGTAGAAGAAATAGAAAAAAGGAGAATTTATTGTGTTAAAAAATGTAATAAAACTGTGATATTGAAAGTTTTTTTCCATTAAAAAAAACTATATTTTTAGAATAAGTTATTATAATTGTTTAGGCTATGAAATGCCTTTTTTTCCTCAAACAATAATAAGTGGTTACATCACATCATATGTATAATTTTTCATGCATTACGTTGTATTAAACCTTGTTTACAGTGTTACCCATGTAAATAAACACTGCACATTACACCATTTCTTTCTTGTCTTACGGAGTTTTAATTGCAAACACTGCATTTCTTTAACATAAATGTTTATACTTCATGAGAGGAAACCAAAAGTGTATAATATTGGTTGGATTTCCAGTATTTCACAGTTGACTTCATAGGATTCTACATAGATGGAATGAAATATGGAGATAACGAACAGTATTCAAGCTCAAGTCCATTAGAACAATACAAATTGGGAGCAGAGCAAACACGGACCTCCAAAAACATCAGAGGTGGGACCAGGTGCCATGGAGGAGTGAGCATCCCCTGCTGACAGGTCACACCCGCCGTGTGCTCCTTGTCATAATCGGGAAATAACAGAAAAATCCGTAGACAGTTCAGTGTGTAAATAATGGCCTAACAATTAGTATGAAAAACGTCAGTCAGCATATGACTTGATGATAGATTGTATTTGCGGACAAGGTCAATGAATCGACCATAGAACATACGAAATGATGACTTTAAACGAGACTGTTGATGTTCTTGTTTCATCAACTTGTTTGTTAATAACTTACCTCGTTTTAGAAATTGTTCATACGTAGCGCAAGCTCTTGCGTATCGAATCAACTGAGAGATATACACCCCATATGCAGGTGATAATGGTATATTGCTGCATAAGTAAGGGAAGTTGACGATTGAAAAGTTTAAGTCATCACGTTTATCATAAAGCTTTGTTGTTGGATTACCATTAGCGTCTTTTTCTAGTAAAATATCCGAATATGAAACAGCCGACTGTTGACAATCGTATGTAAATCAATCAAACTGTCAATATATGGTATGACGAATCCATTTCCAAGATTTCAAAACTAGTACAAAAGAATAATGAAGGGCGACCTTTCTTATTCTACTGTTAATAATAGGATTTTTCTTGTCTGTGACTTTAAAAAATTGGAGATTTACATAAAATGATTATTCACTTGTTAAAAGATTTATTTGAAATGTGGAATATAAAAAAAACCCAACCAAATCCCTATATCAAAGGGCATTATTAAATCTGATGTATTATTTTTGAATGACCAAAACATTCACTGATTCTTCTTTATATACTTCTTTTCTAATGAAAAGAGATACTTGTTTTCGGATTCTTCTAGTAACCTATTAATGAAATTTGTTAACCCCAGTATCTTGAATTTATCTTTCTGAGGTCAATTAGTAAAAGAAAAAAATACAGGATCACCATCTTAACTGTTTTATCATTTTCCACCCATTTATCATTTTGTGGTTTCAAAAATTGTAATGAGGGATAATGAAATATGACAACATTAAAAATGCTCGAAAACTCCAATGGAAAGAGAGAATGGTAAATGGGTGATAGGGTACAGTTTAAGTATATCATTGAAAGATTTTGTGAGAGTTCCCCGAGGTCAGGACTATTTTCCGAGGCGAAGCCGAGGTCGACAATGAAGACAACAAATTGAGATTGTCCATTCATAGCGATTTCTAGGAAATTATTCACATCTAACGATTTAATTTTATATAGGGAAAAATTCAGTGGCAGTATAATTAAAAACCAGAGGTACTGTAAGCACTGAGCTCACAAAATGATACCCCCAGCTCCCATATGAGTATAACGCCTTTGGCCTTTTTTGCTACGGAAAAGCCCAAATATCTTACGATCAAATCATGATGTAGGAGGAGGTGCAATGGCACTATATAACTAAAATTCTGTGAAAGTATCATAAAATTTTATTCAATGGTATAGGAATTAGGGCTGTGCAATAATATCGATATTCCGGTATATTGCGATTCATTAGCAAAAAATATCGTGTCTATTGCGATACGTTTCTCCAGTACCGATATATCGGCAAACTGCTTGGACTTGAGATTTCTTAAGTAAAATATGAAATTTAATATGTCGGAAACATTTTCAATCGTACCAAACGGTTAGGTTGCTGTTGTATGGTTGCACTTCGTTCCAAAACTGTAATGAAATCAACAAAAACTTTTTTGTAACAATGTATTTATAATAGTTTTACACACGCTGCTTATAGATGGGGGTTAATAAAATAAGAAAAAGATCATTTTAACTGTCATATATCGCAATACAAAATTTCCAGCCGATACGTATACCCAGCCGTAATAGGAGTTGTAGATAAGAGATGGGTACCCTCAATACTAGTATTGTAGAAAGAATGGCAGTGTCTATGGTTTGCTATGGGAAATGCAAAAATGTATGTTTGATCAAAAAGTAAAATAGGAGGTCACAATGGCACTACGCAACAATGATTCTATGAAAGTCTCATCAAATTTTATTCAGTGGTATAATAAAGAGATGGGTACCCCTAAGCGTAACGGACGGACGGATAGACACCATATTGATCGTGTGGGTATACACGCGAGTATTCTGCTTAGTACACCATGGATGATCGTGTCAGCATTGTGAAGAATATTTGTCCTAGCTCTGAAGACATACGTCACTGGTCGTTAATGCATATGTGCGATTTCTACTGGACATTACGTGGACATTAGTCACCTTGAGCAGGTGGAACGCCCACTACCTCTGAATTACAGGGTGATATACTGAGGTACTTATATCGCTAAAACATGAGGAATTAAAACCCACGACTTCCAACTCGATAACATTCCCTCATTAACCATGTCATCAGTTATTTAAGTAGATATTGGATAAAGTCCAAATATAGAGATATCATCCCACACTTAAAACTTGAATGGCTTAAATTTCTACGTTTAAGTACATCGTATTTAATACATGTGTACCGCCTTGCGTTAACTAGTTACTCAGATTATTTACAACTCCCATCATTCAAGTTTTCTAACTGACACGGAAGAACCATGATAAAAATTAATAATTTCCGTTACAGGTTTTAAAGGTTGGGGGGAGCAGAACAGAAAATAAAAGACAGTGCCTTAAAAAAACTTTGGCCAAGAAAAAAACTACCCAAACTCGAAAAACCTATTTCGGGGGGGAGGGGGGGGTGTACTTTCTCGGGAAAGAAGTGATGGGGACCAACACCCCCCCCCCCTTTTTTGTCTTTGTGTGAAAAGTACCATGGTAACTTGTGTTTATGGGATAAAAAGTTACTAGAGAAACTATAATGATCCATAACAATTATTTCTCTTTAGTCTTTTGACCTTTATGTTTACTTTCATGCTGATCAATGAGTTTTGACAGCATATACTTATCTGCTTATGTTGAAAGAAGCAGTTTGGAAGAAGCACGTGACTTAAGTGAGCAGATTAAGGTGGGACAGTCATGATATCATTATGGTGTCACTGGTGCTGTTCAGGCTCCTCATATTAACCATATTGTTATCAGTAACGTACGCAACACTTGTATAGAGGATGCCCCTGGGAGATGGGTAAAGCAAAAGTCTAAGCAAGGTAGATCAGCAGGCGGTGTTCTCATTGACAGCATTTTATGGAAGTTCTTTCCTTGTGCGTGATGCTGGCACACATTTAGTGACACTCTGCTTTTTTGCCCTTATGCCTGACAAATTTCATTTTAAGATGGGGGAAGAGTTTTCAAATCACAAAGTGGGGCGAATACCAGAAGCAATCCTGGTTTAATTGTAATCTATTGGATGGTAGCATTCCAACATCAAATGTTAAGAACACGTGCTTTGGGAGCGTTTTTGTCTGAGTACAAATAGAATTTTTGCTGAACTTAACCCACTTAACCTAATGATTTTCTGGATTTTGTTTTAAGATCATCTTGCCTTGCTGGTGCTGATATCGGTGATCAGAATTTTACAGTTATGTTTATTTATGTCTCGCACGACATGGATTTCCTTTCATTAAGGTGTAAAAGTCGAGACTTTTGAACTATCAAAAGGGATGAAATGTTACTTATGCTTAGCAGTAATTTTTCGGTTACACGATACCTAATTAAACCTGTTCTTTGCACATCGTCAGATACCTACGAGTTATCTCGAGCTCGTCTTTAAAAGACGAAATCACCCATGGGCAACGATGGTTCTTGCAATAAAATGCATGTTGTCAAAATCGCTGTGGTAGCTCGTTATTCCGAGTTTTGACGGTTCTTACTCTTATCCTGTCTGGGTAAAAAAAAAAGGTTTTAGGAGATGGCTTCTTGGTGATTTATCAATCTTCTGTGTCATCTTAATGTTTTACGGAACATTAAATTGATTTCATTGTATGGAGGTAAACACAAAATTCACACCATGTACTGGAGAGGGTTGTACACTTGTAATTGGCAGTTAGTTAAATAAGTGACGTATAAGCAGTCGGTGTTAAATGAAACTATACTTCTGTACACGATCTCTATACTATAAATCGGAAGTATATACATATAAAAAGCAGCTGCACATCTGTCATGTTGTAAATTTTGAATTTACCGGGTTTAAATATAAAATTACAAACATGACATCATGTTGTAAATTTTGTATTTACTGCCACCCGGTAAATTCAAAATTTACAACATGACACGTATACAATATAGATGGGGATTCTCTCTATTTGAAGCACGCGTTTTTAAGATTGAGAGCTCTCAATCGTTTTGATACTGGGGCGTAAATATATATACAAGGAGACTCTCTGGATTTATTTCAAAAGTAATACTGATAAATTTTATCATGTATCATTAAAACATGACTAGTGGGACAGAAAATTAATTAGAATATGTCATACATCACCCATCACAGCATTTTACTATTTAGGCATGCAAAATTTTAATTAATCTAATTCAAATCAAACACTTTTTCCTCCAATGATAAATTATTTATTAGTATTAAAGGTCTTTTAAAACTGCCAATTCATGCTCTTTGACATCAAGAGAAGTCTGACAGACGAACCCGACCCCAACATTGCCTGCTTGTCGTGCGGATGTCAATCTTTAATGTTATTTAAAATTTAAGCAAACCCACCTTAAAGTCAGTAACCTTTGTGATTACACGATCTTTGACAATTGTTACAATTAAATGTATGTCAAGGTTTAACACGGCTATAACTTAATGTCACTATTTTTTCTAGTCCAGTGGTTTATTCACAAAGTCTTTAGTAA